CTTTATTTTTTTTTTTTTTCTTTATTTTTTTTTTTACCATCACTACTTATGTTTCTCATACCTTGTTATCTGGTTATTTTCTTAGCCCTGATGAAGGCCTGAACTTCAGGTCGAAACGTCGGCATATGTAAAAATAAATATTATCATTTATTTTTGTCTTCTTTTTTGACTGACCACCCCAACTATTCTTCTCTTCATTATCCACGACAGTCAACCATTTACCAATTATAATATATTTTTTAGATAGCAGAAACTTAACTAAGCCCGAATGAAAAATTAAAAGAGTTAAATGCAAAAGTATATTGGTTATACCAATTCTTTACATATAGTAACTAAAATTTTCAAGCATTAGCAACTATTTTGCCTTAAATTTTATTTTTTAAATCTATTTTTTTACCAGTCGTTGTCTTGGTGTTGCAAGAGTGAGGCGGTCTTGGTATTGGTCTTCCTAAGTACAAGACCAGTCCAAGACCGATTTTGGTCAACACTAATCATATGACATAGTTTCATAAGATTTTCTCGGTGGGACAAATCTCACAATAAAGCCTATTCTCCTCTGCCAGGTATTCTCCCTTCTCTATTACTGACGGCTATAGGAGTTGTGTTTGTTTTCTTTTTTATGTTTCTTTCTGGACGCTCTCCTCTGGAAAAAAAGACAGAATCCTCAGATGGAGACTCACTGGACGTAGACGATATAATCCGTCTTCTTGGGAGAGGCTTAGGACGGCGTTGATTTACGTCCGGGATAGTGATAATGGACAGTCCGCTCATCGCTAGGAAGCCTGCTCTGGAAGCAATATTATCCTCCGTACATCCACTATTTAATAAAGTTACGTCGCGATAAAAGCAATTCTTTCTTGAGAAAGTATTATTATTTATTATTATATATATATATATAATCGATTATATATATATATATATATATATATATATATATATATATATATATATATATAAATATATATATATATATATAAAGCACATATAGGTATGAATCCTAATTTAAATTTTAAACTTCTTTAGATGTTAAAAATCCATTAACCAACTTATTTTTAGACTTTTTCATATATTTTCGGACATTCATATTTTGGCAATATCTTGTATAAATATATCAATGCTGAGTTTCTCATAATATCATTTTTATATAGTCAGAATGTAATCTTGTCAGAATTTTATGTAGTAAGCATGTATGTAATGATTTACTATTGGTGTACCAGAGTGAGGAGTCTTAAATGTCTTTAATTGATATGCATTCAATAACTTTCTAATAATTGCATTTAAATATTTTTGGAAATTTTCATATAGTTTTGATATTGTTATTTGGTAGTCGTGAGACTGAGTCTTGTTTTATTAGAAACATTTATTTTATACTTGTATATTTGTGTTAAACTGCAGCAACAAAATTAATTCCAACTAATGATGTCATTTCTGATTAATTGACGTTGATTTTACTAACGAATAAAAACACAAACACATTTCTCTGTTCTATCCAGAACGTCATACAAGAAATAATTTAATTATTTACTTTTTATCAAAGTAAACGTCATAGGACTGAACAATGAATCGACTATTTTCCTTTTTCAGTGTTATTTATTTACATTTTCTTACAACTCAACTATTTTGAAAATATTTACACAGTAATATTAAGTACGACATTAAATTAGAATCATTAATTGAAAAAAAAAAATGTTTGTCGTCATAACAAAAACTATTATGTGGTTATTATTTTTTTAAAATATTTTTTTTACATCTAAATCAAATTTAAATAGCACTTTTGGAATCAAATGTCTTATGAACGAAAATTATAATTTTATTATATAAAAATTTACGACAATTCTCGAAATTGGGGTGTTTTCAATCTGGAGATGGACAAACTTTGTCTATTTAATTAGATATTAAATACTCATAAATACCCATTTGCTTTCCACTTGAATCCTAAGATATATGGGCACAAAATCGAGAAAAAAGGTGGCCTTAAAATATATCGAGCTGTTTGGCGTGACCTACACCCCCAAAATGACCAGGTTATATTGGCCAAACGCCCTAACATTTTTTCATACCACCTTTTTCTCGATTTTGTGAACAGATTACCTAACGATCCAAGTGGAATCGTATACAAACATTTTATTTACAAAAATGTTCGAAAATGGGACGTTTCCAATCTGGTGATCGGCAAACTTAATCTATTTAATTGAGTACTAAAAACTCATAAATACCCATTTGCTTTTCATTTGAAACGTAAGATAATATTATAGCAATGTCGAAAAAAAAAAGGTGGCTTACAAAAATATTGGTCCGTTTGGTGTGACCTTCACTTCGAAAAAGTTAAAATAATGAGGCTATATTGGCCAAATGCCCCAATATTTTCTTAGACCACCTTTTTTTCGATTTGGGGATAATATTATCTTGCGATTAAAGTAGAAGCAAATGGGTATTTACGAGTTTTTAGTATTCAATTAAATAGACAAAGTTTGCCGATCTCCAGATTTCTAAGAGTTTTCATAAATAATATAGTTGTAGGTTTCTATGAGATGAAGATCTGAAGATAAAAAAAGATCTGTATCACGGGCTATTGTAGTTGTCAATAAGACTTAAAACCGCCCAGTAAGTATGAATAAATTTATATACTATCTATTAGATGCTAGGGACAATTATTGCTTATTTTTTCAAAAAACAAAAAGTACAATATTTCCTGCTGCAAAATATTCTCCTAAAACCGATTGATAATATTTGATCTATTGCCATGGAAGTAATTTAGTTCAATTTAAAAGCAAAAACTATTTAAGACGATACCTTATTCGACTTATTTCTGATTTGGCGCTACAAACCGCTTGCCACAGCCAAAAGCAATCGCTAGGTGTCACTGTTTTTCGCTTCCCCCATCCAATTTCTCACTCCAACTCTCTTTGCTTCACTTTTTATACAGTCGTTCCAAGTTGGAGCTTCTTCGGAATCATATCGCTTGACCACATCGTGCTCAAGTCAAAACTAGTTGGTTGCTTGATTTTTCTCCTCCAAATTACGTTTTGTAATTTTATGATTTATAATTTCCATCTCTCTGCGGTGAGGATTGTTTCTTTCAAACTTTGGACGGATTTTGCAGATCTATTTTCCTACCACCAAGAGGATGTTATGACCAAAATTTCATGAATTTATAAATTATATGAATTTATCTATTTTTCTTGTATTACTAGACAAGGCCACAAGGCTGTAGGTCTCAGCTGCTGTTTCTGCAAACAGTAAGAAAGGTGTGAGTAACAACCCTCATATGACAGCTGAGGTACATCTGTGCGGTCCCCTGCAGGTGTGGGTGGGTGGCTTATGTGTAGCGATTGTGGAAGCGTTGGGCTTAAATTTTCGAAAATATACCTCCGGAAATAATATTTAGTTAATTATTTATTGTGGTTTTCTCTGGTGGACGGTCACCCTACTAGGATTTCACCCATTCAACTACTTACCATAAAAGTAAGGTATGAAGATGCTGTATCTCGTTTCAATATTTGACTTTTTTTTATCACTGTATTTGCTTTTTAACAATGAACAACATGCTAAGGCAACCATTATCTTACCTGCAGTTGATTATATTCATCTACAGCATCTAAGAGAAGTTCCAGGACTTCCAAAAGTCAAATTTAAAAAAAAATAATAATAATTTTTAAAAAATAACACGGTACAAATATTATTTGGGATATCGAAAAGTGTTCTTTTGTTCTCATTAGATCTACATTCTGTCAGAAAATGTTTCACTGTTAGCGGACACTCATAGGTCTGACACTTAACCATAGTTTACCTCTAACCTACAGAACTGGTGTGGATGTAATGCTAAGTGTCGCTATTTTAATTGATAAATCATATCGTTTAGATGTTTAGGACAATAATCAATCAAATTTACCTTCTGTTCATTTTTAATATACTTCTTGCATCACTCGTGATCATCAAGAAACCATTTTTTTGGAATAATTAATTGTTAATACTCTAATACTGCACATAAGACATAACCGTATGGTATATACTATTCATTATTATCAACATTCCTTTTTTTCATCTTTCTGTATTTTTTAAGGCTAATAAATCCCTTACTTTTATGTGTTTCTTTATTCCTGTAATTCATCACAGAGTCTTAGTGACTGTAAAGTATTTATGAGTTTTTGTAATGTATGTTCCTTTAGTCGAGGAAGATTTTTGATTGTCGAGCTGCTATTATGCCCTATTTCTAAGGTATTTCACTTTAGATTAATTGATTGATTAAATATATAATCTAACTTGGACTATTATATTCACATACCGTCGGTTACTTCAGAAACGATGCACACAGTGGCAAAGTTGGACTCAAATCTCCTTGCAAAGTACAGAAATAGCAATTGCAATGTAGTTTGTTTATTGTTCTATGGCTAAGTATTGAATATGATTTTCACGCATCTGCAATTCAAATTTTTAATTTTTTTATCACAATGTTGAAAACTATTGAATGTGTCACATTCAATTCTTTGATCTGTTTGTATCTGAAGATGGTTTTGTTCATTGCAAAACGTTGAATACGTCATTTTCGATTGTTTGCTGTGGTTTTATTTTCCATTTTTACAATGCAATGTTGTAGCAAACATTTGAATCTGGCCCATTCTTTACTTTGCATTGACAATTATTTACTGAGTTGTCTTAAATTATGCAATGCAAATTAGCGAATATACCATATTCATTAGTTTGCATTGCACAAATTTAGATTTCAAACCATGAATACAATGTATCGAAAGTGTATTTAATTAATTGTAATTGAATATTTTCGAACAGCGAATGCAAAATCTTCAAACATTCGTAAAAGCAGATACTAGTGTGGAAATTAAAACATCCTCGTTGTTTGTGCTGAATTTCCTGAGAAGTGGTGACTTGCAGATTCGATAGTTAACATTTGTATCGACGATATTGATCATTTATGCTTTATTTTATTTTGGAGTGTTCGCTAACTCTTCTCATTTTGGCTCTATTATACATTCTTACTCTAGAAACTGAAGACCAGTTATCCGACAGTGCCGTCCGATCGGCTGCCCTTCTAGGACAACGCCCTGATACCTACGCTCAACCCACGTCCTATAACGGAACTGGAAAACCATCTTAAGACTAAGAAAGATTATTATGTATCTAGTACGGTCGAAAAGTAGGTTGATTTCGCTAACTGAATCAAGATGAGTTTGAAAATGAAGGACGGCTAAGTTGGTAAATAAAAGAAGTGAATATAAAAAAAATAGTGGGAGTCTAATAAATTGTTTCTTAACATACATCTTCGGATTTTCCAGGCATCCTCATATCTCTTGTTTGTTTGTTGGGGTTTCAAGTTATTGTGTCTTCGTCATCACTTAGAATTTTTGATATTGGAGGTGTAAGTCCTAGACTACTTAGATTTGATTTATGTAAAAAAAACATTCCTGTTACATGTGGCTGACTGTAAGTGTATTATTGCAGTGTTGACATTGTGGTGGTGGCTGCTTGCTAGTGAATGGGTAACATTGGTGTGGCCTATTGTTAGTTTAGTTAAGACAACTTCTTCTCTGCTGATATAGCGATTGACCACGGCTTTACTGTATTTTTAATATCTTTTAATTTGCTTGGAGGACTCTCATTTCACATAGATTGTCAGTCATGAATCATTTCTCTTTTGAAGGGAAGACTTATATCTTGCGGTGTTGGAATGAGAGCGCCCCTGCTTGTTTTCCTATCACATCCGTGAGCTCATTTCCAACAATTCCCACGTGGCTCGACACCCAAATTAAGTATGCCGATTTTTCTAAACCTTCTAGTATATTCATGAATTTTTAAGACGGTTGGATGTTTCGGGTATAAATTATTCATTCCTTTTAGAGAATCTAGAGAGTTAGTTATTATTAGAATGTTTTGGTTGGTTGTCAGAAAAGTTCAGGGTCCTCATGTCTCTTGTTGGTGTACTGATATGAAGTGGTTTGATCCTTCCTTCCAATGTCAATAATGCCTTCGTCTTTCTAATATCATTAGTATTTTAAAATAACATAGATTTAAAAAAAAGTATTTCCACATTTATATTAACTGGGCTGCTATAACGAGGTGAAAGTGGCTTGTATTTGAACGGTTATAAATCGATATCCATTAATTCTGATTGTTTACATGGACTACTATATTGAAGCATTAGTAAACGTTATTGTGTAATGGTTCACTTCGTTTTCTTTCGAAACTCTGTTTTTTGTATCACGTTTTAATGTTTATAATTTATCACGATATCGAAACAAGCATTGGTGGGTAGACTGTTTTGAAATTTAGTTCATTTGCTATATATATTTATATATATATATATATTTTTTTTTGTTGGCTACTGTGTGACCAGTGGTGGACGTAAATGTAAACGTAAGGTATACGTAACACCTTTTAATATAATTATTAATATGAGACTCATTTTTATCAAATTATTAACTCACCTAAAACTTCGTGAATTGCTTCATTAACTATTCTGCCTAAAATCTTTTTATTTACGAAAATTCTCAGAACGTTTTTTGAAGTGAAACGATTTTAATCAGGAGTTTGGTAAGCTTTGTTAATATAAAGTCTGGCTTTGGGTCGTTCGACACGATCGCTACACCCAACATGTCAAAATAACGAGGTTACAGAGGCCAAACTGCCTAATATTATTGTAGTTCGCCTTATTTTATCGATTTTTCATTATTCGTGGATTTCTAGTACACTTTAAATTAACAAAATTTACCGATCTCTTGATTGAAAAAGTCCTATTTCTCAGAATTTTCCTAAGTATAAAAGTTGTATGTTAGATACAATGGAGTCATTCACGAAGTTTTAATAATTAAATAAAAAGGCTTCTACCTTGAACCATTATCTTTCGTGATTCAAAAGTATTTGAAATTAGTTATGTGGTCACTCTTTGATAGAATTTCGTTCTAATTTCATGATAAACAGTAATAATTTACTTTATTTTTTACTGAATCCCGAGCTTTTCGTGTTGTTCTTAATCTTTGTTTTTTTTCAAAATAATTCAATATACAAAGCCGGATCGAATTCCAAGTTTGTAATAATCACCCAACCAACTACGGTTTCAATAAATTATATCGAAACAACAAATCACTAATTCAAGTCTATATCAATAATCAAAGCCTATTCAAATCCAAAAGTGCCCGTTGATTTATGATATTTTTTCCATCAGTTTGAAGTTGAATGGTACAACTTTTAAATGTGGTCCGCGGTAGAGCAAGTTGGAATGATAACCGAAATAAGTAATTGCCTAACAGGGATCTCTAGACAAATTACTCAAGAATTCATAACTTTGGTTCTACTAAATATTTTGTTTTCATTTAAAGCCTATGTTTTAAATCAAGCGAAGCTAAATATAATGCCAAAATTTCAAAATCTACCATTAGCCATTGTTGAGCTTACCTCTGACAAAATTTCGTTGGACAATGTGGACAAACTGACAAAAATTTTTTTAAAAGTGGGTTTGGTGTCAGTAATTTATGAACCTGAAAGATATCATTTAACGGATAGATACTATTCATTGTACTGACAAAACCTTTATTTTATTTATATAGATATGAATTTTATGCCAACATCAACTTCCACAAATCTCCTAAGCTTTTGACCTCATTTCTTGATAATCCTACCTGGCGCCTGACAGATATCGGTTTTGCAACAGTGTATGTTTAATAATTACATGCTATTTTATAAATAATATTATTCCATAGATATTTCTTTATTTTAAATAATTTATTCTAGTCGGTGTTAGTTGGCCTACTTTTATTCCGTATGTCCACCAATACAAAATAAAACTCAAACCACAAAATGTATGCGCTACACATTGACATATTCGTATAATTAAATTATATTCTTTAATTTTGTTACTCGAGAGAAAATTTGGCTGTGGTAATGAGGTCAAAGGAGGAAACACGATAAGCAAAACTTTTTTGTCATATATGCCAACGCTTATGCTTATTTACGAGTACAGAAAAATGTTTTGCCGAATTAATTTATTAAATTATAAAACCTAATACTTCGTTACATTGTTGACTCAGTATGTAATCTGTTCGATAATTAATGAAGCCAGTATATACGCAATGCGAAATGCGCACTGCGTCGGAGCTACTTATTCACAGGTCGGATAAACGGCGTTACGTGATGCAACTCTCGCATGGCTTTTTAGTATGCCCGGTGCAGCAGATGCGTACTCACTATAGAATATTTATATAATACTTAAAAGTATTTAAATAATAAGAAGTAAGGTGGGGCATTTAAATTTATCCATCAAGTAATCATAAAATTACTTCAGTTACAGTTCAATAGATGAATAAAAAGAAGTTCATAACAAAATATTTGTTATATGTGTCATATCTAATAATTAAATCACTGATGTTTGTAACTTTAATCTCTAACATTATTAATCTTCTAAATTCTATTTATTTGGGTTGGGAAAAAAAAAAAAAGTAAAGTAGAATTCTTAGTTAAAATTTATGTGTATAACATACTTTCCCGAAAACAAGCTGCATACATTTTTTATGATGAATTCAGTATTTTATTTGCTAATAACTCACAAAGTACACATTTTTTATGGATAATGCCAATATTTGAAAGCTTCCTAAATTCCCTACAAAACAAAAAAAAAAATCATCGAAATCGGACTATTTGTTGCAGAGATATATCATTTTAAACATTTAGTAGTTTTTCTTTTGCAAAGTCGATTTTCTTTATTTTGATTTTTGATAAATCTTATTGAATTTACATTTAATGAAGTAATCGGGACTATTATTTGAAGCGATAACGTCATTGAATGTTAGTGGAATGCTACCTAATAAATTTAATATAAAAATAAATTCTATAGTTGTACTCATTCTTAACTTAAATACTGCACAAGCATTAGTTAATGGAACACGATTGAGAGTGAAGTACTAACGGGAGCTATTTTAAATAAAAGAATTTCAATTCCAACAATTAATTTAATATTTTCTGACACAATACTTCCATCGAATTTCAAAGAACAACGTTCTTATTAATAGCTGCATTTGTTATGACCATAATCAAATCGCAGGGTCAAAGTTTTGGAAAAAAAATGTGTATTATTGCGACCTCCAGGAATTTCGCATGGACAATTATATGTGGTAGCAAGAAAAGCACGTTCATTTCATTGGGCAAAGCTATGTACTAAACAATAATAGAACATTAAAAAAAAACATTGTATACACAGCTATTTAATTATTTTTTACTTTCTTAATCATAACATTAATTTATTGTGATAATAACACACATTAATTAAAATAGGAATTAAATATTTTGAATGAGTCTATTTTGTATTACTTATAAATAATTTAAAGTAGCTTAAGCTCGGCTTTTAATTGAACTTGAAATTTTGTTTATATTAATAAATGAGGATTTTTGAATCGTGATTAATCTTTATTTATTAAATTTATTTTTTAATTAATTATATATTTTCCTCAAATTTTTAATGGCTATGGTCAGACTATATTCAGTATTGCTTGCTAATTATTACTGCCAATTTATCAACCCTAAAGTGAGCGGAAAGGAGTTTAGCAATTAGGTACTTATCGATTTGTTCTCATCTTCTGTCTTTAAGATCATAAGTCTTTCCTTCTACTTACGAAAAAATTGTTTCCCTTAGAACTTGTTTATTGAAAAACATTAAAAACAGTCTCGAAGAACATTTATAATAGTGTTCAGGGATCACATTCACACTCTATATACAATAAATAAAAATAATTTAAAATATATATATATATATATACAATAAATAAGAATACAATAACTTAAAGATAAATAAATAAATAAAAAATGTCTTATGAAAATAGGTTTTTCTATAAGAATCTCCGTATTTATTTTTTTCAATTACAAATTAATTCTGATTAAAAAACGTAAATACTTCTCGAGAAAAATGAATATTTTACCTAATAAAGTACTTTATTACATAAAATATTCATCATATCCGTCATTTATAAATACGCTAGGCTTAAACTTATGTTACACTAATACTTGTACCAATGAGTAAAAAGTAATACATCTTAACAAATTTTTAGTTATTTTTAAAAAAGTGGGAATGTTTGTCCGTGGCGTGGTCAATGAAGAAAAGGAATAAGAATA